AACTCAAAATTATTTGTTGTGATGGTTAATCCCCATGATCAACTTGATTGGGTTGAAAAGCACCTAAAAGATTAGTAAAGCACATCTCTGGGCGTGTTCAAAAGGGTGTTTCCAGCGAGGATTAACTAAGAAAGACTTAATCCAAACAGGGAACAACATCCCTATAGTCTAGGGCTTCAGAGAGAGTAAAAAGTAGAAAAGCAGAAAAGCCAAGGGCAAGCCTTTCCTCTGCTTTCTTGGACACCAGGTTGTAAACTGTTGTACTGCCACATTCTTCCCTCCCTGGTGGACTCAAAACTGTGAACCTCAGCCAGATACATCCATCCACTCTCAAGTTGTTTATGCCAGGTATTTTGTCATAGTGATGGGAACTCTAGTGCACTTGTCATATTAAAGAAATAGGGAGGGACAGGCAGCGTCTCAGGTGAGAGAGCACAAGCCTAGCAAGTACAAGGCTCTGAGTTCAAATCCCAGTACTGACAAAAAGAAAAAAGAAGAGAATAGGGAAACATAGACAATTTTAACAACAAAAAGCACTAAAGACTAATCCTGAAATGGCACCATTTGAATACAGTTTTTTGTTGTTTTTGTTTTGGGTCCTAGGGCTTGAACTTGGGGCCTGGGCACTGTTGCTCAGCTTTACAGCTGAAGGTTAATGCTCTACCACTTAAGCCACAGTGCCACTTCAAGTTTTTTTTTTCTGGTGGTTTATTGGAAGTAAGAGTCTCACAGATTTTCCTGCCCAGGCTTCCTTTGAACTGTGATCCTCAGATCTCAGTCTACTAAGTAGCTAGGATTATAAGCGTGACCCACCGGTGCCTGGCACAATTTTTTTTTAAATAACTATAAGATATTAATAAGAGAATATGAAGCCCAGTTTCTATATAAGCAGTAAGAAAGAACAGGAAAATAAAATACATAAAATAAAAAGTTCACTGGATATCTTAAAAGCAGAATATATATGACAAAAGAAATCAGAGAACTTAAAAACGAATGGGCAGAAAGGATGTAATGTGCAGAACAGAGGAAAACCTATTCTAAAAGTTACCAGAGCCCCAGATCTTTTAAACAGGCATAAAACTAATATTTCATAAAGTATTGATAGAACAGAACAGGAAAATATTTGAAGAAATGTGAGAAACTGTTCAAAATTAGCTAAAGACATAAAATGTATAGTTCAAGCAGCTCAGTGTAGCCGGATATTGATGGCTCATAGCTGTGATCCTAGCTACTCTGAAGGCTGAGTTCTGAAGATCTTGGTTTGAAGCCAGCCTGGGCAGGAAAGTCCAGGAGACTCTTTCTTTATTTTTTTGTTGGTCGTGGGGCTTGAACTCTGGGCCTGAGCACTGTCCCTCAACTCTTCAGCTCAAGGCAAGCCCTCCACCACTTGAGTTACAGCGCCACTTCTAGTGGTGAAGGTAAGAGTTTCACGGACTTTCCTGCCTGGACTGGCTTTGAACCACAATCCTCAGATATCAGCCTTCTGAGTAGATAGGATTACAGGCAAGAGCCACCTGGGCCCAGCCAGAAGACTCTTATGTCCAATAAACTACAAGGGAAAAAAATGCTGGAAGTAGAGCTGAAGCTCAACTGGTAGGGGCATTCACTCCTTAGGTTTTATATGTTAGAAGAGGAAACTAGTGGTTTTTGACAATTGCTTATATGCCAGGCTTACTGTCAAAACTGTACAGTTATTCCTTAATTTGAAGAGATTGAGTAGGCAGCAGGCTATGTCTCATTCTGTATATTACTAGATGTGTGGCCTTAGGCAGGTTCACTATTGAGGTCTTAATCCTTAAAATTCAAGAAACAGATGAAAAATGGCTACCTCATAAGTTTATGTAAGATATTACAGACAAAATATCTGGAATAAAGAAATGCAACATTAACCTCCTTCTTCCCTTCTCCCTCTTCCACAACCTATTGGACCAGAGAAAATTGAAAGTACTAAACACACAAGCAGAGAAGAAGTGCTTCTCTTTGGCAACATCTTATATGACCAAGTTTCTTCAAATGTCAGTTCTAATCACTATTATAGTATTAGTTGTTTAATACCTTGGAAGAATGACATTGTGTACAGATGTTTCCATCTGAAAAACTAAAAAAAAAGATCAATATAGAATTATCATTCTTTTGTCACAAAAGATTAACAACACAATTTCTGAAATTCAGATCTCCATTTCAGTTCTTTTACCTAGGTCACTTGACCATTTTTTCCTTCGATGTTGAAAAAAAAAGGCCCTCTGTTCAGTAGGAACTTAATTATTCTCTCAGTTTCAGCAAGAAGCACATTTATTATATGTTCAACAAGGTGGTATTCACTTTTTTCAACTGAGACATTTGTAAAGGATTTCATTATATCTGGAGAACATTTTCATCAATCAGAGGTTTAGCAGCCATCAAAAGGTCTCCACAATTAATCTTTTATAACATAGGTGTGACATAATCTTTGCACTAAGAAAAATATTAAATATGAGGGGAAAAGTATTAATAAACTTTAACATTTCTTGGTGAAGAAAAACTGCTTTGTGTTTTTAAAGATATGGTAAAGAATGTAAAGAAAACCTACATGCTTGAAATTAGTGCCAGATGCAACACGACTCAAGCACAATTCACTAGCTGCACCAAGTATTTCATTATGATTTACTAAAGAGAATTCAGCAATTCTATGTTTCCTAGAAATCTCCAAAATACAAGTATTTCATTCACAAAATGCATGGCTTGGCAGATTTCCAGGACAGGAATTTGCTGAAGGGAAGGCCAATTTATAGATTAAGATAAATCAAATAACTGACATTTTCCCTAAAAAACCAACAAAACAATAATATTCAGAAATTGAAAGTCTCAAAACTGGAAACAGAAGTAAAATTGGGCTATTATTTACATTTATTATAGGAATCCATTAACATCATAAACAGATATTTGAAATTTTTTATACTAATATCGCGGAACTTGATTTTAAAATTCCCATTTTTATAGAATGGTGTTCCAATAACTTTTGAAGTGAAATGTCATATTTACAAATCTTGAGGACATTTATCCTTTCATTGTACATTTCTTTGTACTAGATAATAAGAATTCTCTACTGAAATTTGTAAAAATAATCTAGATAGTTCTTAAGCATGCCAATATTACCTCCTCTCTAATCCATTTCAAAGTTTTTCTCCTTCTGCTCAATCTTTCACTATTCTGGTAACATTTCTACCACCAGCAAATGTTTATGGGCTAAATGCATGTGTAACATCAACCCTTCCAATTCATACATTGAAGCCTTAACCCACATGTGGATATCTTTGGTTACTGGGCTTCTACCAAAGTAATTTAAGAAATAAGGTCAAAGGATGAATCTCTGTTCTGGTAGGATTAGTACCCTTATAAGAGAGAAGTGACACCAGACAGACTCCCAAACCTGTACTCAGAATTCGGATATCATTTGAACACTGAGACTGTAGCTACCTGCAAGTTAAAAGAAGAGGCCTCAGAATAAAATCTACTCTGCTCAGCATTCAGAATCTGAGAAATGCATTATTTATGCTACTCAGTCTGCAGTGTTATGTTATGGCATCTCAAGCAATGGGATGTCTTTTAATACAGTAATAAAAAGACTCAGTATGAAAAGTTGTAACAGTAGTTCTGTATCTATTCTTTAATTACTTAACATTTTAAGGATTTATGAGATTCTGGAGAGATTTTTCCAGGAGAGTTTCATATAGAGACTTATTCAGCCTTGCATCTACTCTAGAAAGTGAGCAAGGGAAGGAACCCCTGGCACACAAACCTATCATTTTAGGGTCTAGTATAATTCTGGAATTATACTATGGAATAGGGAACTATTCCATAAGCTTGGAAGATGCTGGATGTAGCATGGGTAATGGACAGTTAAGTAATAGACTTATCTATCTTTTAATGTTAACTCAAGATACACTATAGAGTGCAAGAAAATCCTTAGAATGCTTCATAAAAGATGTTAAAAATAAAGATGATGGTGGGACATATTTTTTGAAAACGGATTCCTTACCTTGAATAACTACATAGCTTAAACTGCAACTTAATTTAAGAGTATATTTTTATAGTAAGTTGACGAGTCTTGGCCATTTATAGGTCTGACCTGCAGCCAATCACAGTCTGCCAGCTGGATCTATATAAGACAAATGCCCATCTATAACCAATCTAGTTGCCACCACTTCCGGTTTTTTCAAAAAATCCATGAAGATGATAGGCTTAAGGGGGGGAGCTCTCTTAACTTGTCTGTATATTCATGAATATTGCCTCAATTAAACTCGGCTAAATTTAATTCGCCTCGTTTTTTTTCTTATAATCCATAAAGGCTTTGCGTTTTCTAAGGCAAAAATAGCAAAGTGTACTTATTACAAAACACTTTTTTGGAACACAGACCCCGTCCTCAGAGCACAACAGAGGGCCACGGGGAGGGGAGTGCAGGTGGGGGGGGGGCTCAGAGGGCAGAGGGGGGGCGGGGGAGCAGAGGGCCGGCCTGGCCCGGGGCCTGTGGCCTGCGGCCTGCGGCCTGCATCCCAGCACTACGGGAGGGCAGGAGCCCGGCGTTCTTCCTTCACTCAGGGACGGGCAAGGTGCCTGGAACACGAAGGACACTCCATAGAATACGAGAAAGGAAAGGAAAGGAGGGAAAAGAATGGATGGAAGGGAAGGCCTAGAATGCACCAGAAACATTCTCCCTCCTCCTACAACGAACTCAGTTCATTCGCCAAGTCAGCACCTTCCACACTCACCCAGATGTACCTGGGGAGGGTCAGCGAATAGACACAGACCATCACCACCAACAAGACCTCAACTAAACAAAAACGCTCGGAAGGGACCGAGACACAGCGAGGAAAACACCGGGCAGGAAAGGAGAAAGAACCGCCCGCTCCCATCAGGTTGATAGGAAAGGGAAGCCAAGCGGAGCCGTCTCCATGGCAACCGCCGGGCCAGGCGGGCCCCACCCCATTGGCTGGGACGACGCAGCCAATGAGAAGGCGCGATGTTGACGCGGTCCTAAGATGGCTGCCGGGCAGCTGTTTACTGGCCGGTGAGTACGGCTGGTCGTGGGGCTGCCTTCCGGCGGGCTCGGACAGCTTCGCGGGCGGGTCCTGGTCGCGGGTGGCTGTGAGAGCGGCGGAGAGAGCTCGCCGGTCCGGCTTTACGGTAGCCGGCAACGGGCCCACAGGGACGACGGCGGGGCTCCGTCCGCGTCGCTCCGAGGGGCTGCGCGGCGCCGGCCAGGGCCTGCGGTCAGGGGTGCGGGTTTCCCGGCCGCCCCGGGCGGAGGGGTCGAGCGGGGTGACCGAGCCCTGCGTGCTGCGGCTCCGTCCCGGGAAGCTGCCCGCTCGCGGGAAGCCGGCTCGGTAGACTGGCCGCCCCCACGGGGACGGCCTTAGTTCGTGCGCGGGACCCGGTCGCACCCGATCGCAGGTTGGAGCGTGGGCCCGTCGCCACGGAGCCTGCAGAGTTCCGGGTTGTGCGGCCTGGCAGGAAGAAGGTGTGTCTTTCTCTTGCAGTCTTGAACTCTGTAAGTATTCTCACAGCGAACACGACTTCGGAGGAGCCTTCGGATGCTTACTGGTTAATTGCAAATCGTTGCAAACAAGGTCAGGGATCTGGGGAAGTGTTTGACCACGCCTCGACTGAAACACGTTCTCGAATTAAAGCCCTGGCATGTATGCGTGCGGAATCCTGCTACTTAAATCGTTTGTCCGGAGAAGCAGACATGATTCGAACTCAGATTTGAACTTAGGCCTGTGATTTCTTGAGAAAAGGGAATACATTTGTCTCATAAATAAGACATTTAAATTGATGATATTTATATGCTTAAACTGTTTTAGTAAATTAATTCTTCAGCACATAAACTGATTATTTGTGTAAGCATTGAACAAGGTCTTTCAGACTAGTGAATGGTGGTTAAGACAAGATTCAGATTTCTAATTGCATACAGAATATGGTATGTAAGACCGTTTCACTTGATGAAAATGAAATTCAAATTCTAGAAACATAGAGCTGCTCATATTATCCTTGTGGTTTTGGTCATAAACAGTTTCCTGGTCCTCCAGAAACTGTGACATTACTACTCAAAAACCTGTGAATGTGACATTCGTGTATTGTAACTTATCCTAACATCTTACATAGCTTTCTGTTCTTAGAACAGTACAGAAAAGTTTTTCTTTGACCAAATTTCAGTAACCAGTACTCTAATTTCAATAATCCAGTAATCATAGATTAGAATCAATCTTTGGACCCATTCTGCTCTCTGAAAGTTCATAATTTGAAGCCTAAGTTTAAGTTTTGTACAGTAAGAGGATTCCAATACATTAGGCTAGTCAGTAGCCCCGACTGTTTAAAATTTTTTTTTTTACTGGAAGAGTGATTGTGAGAATTAGTGGTGAGCACAAACGCCTGTCACCTTGTTTACATGCCACGTGTGACAGTGACCTGCTTTGTTTCCTCTTTGTGTTTTATCTTCTGTTTTCTTTAATTTTTTTCAGTGTTCTGAGCTGCACTTTCTCTAAAAGCTAGTCCGTTTGGGTGGATTTTGAGGTAGAGAAAAGAAACTTATTGGGACTTAATCAGAATCACATAATATTGGAGAAAATGGGATGTGTTACAGCAAGGAGTGAGGTAGCTCTGGGCATTTAGAGCACTTAATAATATTAAGATAATAAACATTGTAGAGGGGTAGGACATCTCAGAAATCATCTTTTTAGACATTGATGGATGGAGATCCAGACAAATGCAGTGGCTTGCTCTGGAGTAGAAATCACCTTCTGACTTAAAGATTGTTTTTCCTGCTATAATCAAGGGGTTTGGAAGACTTATGCTCTTTAATTATGATTTCATATCTCTATGGGCTCCATAGTCTGAGTTTATATTTGGTAAACTATGTAATACATATTATAATTTACTATATTACGGTGTAGCATATATTAATTAGTTTAATAATATATCATATATGTAATATATGATATATTACATATATTTAACAAATTAATAGATTATATTATAATATAGTAAAGTATGTTAATTGTTTTTCATAGGGAAATCAGGCTTGTAGTGTACATCTTTGTTGAACATGTGTTGAAGGCCTTCACTAAGTTGAGCTCTTTTGACTTGAATGTGGATGGCACTACTGTCTTACTGGAAGGAAAAGTAAAATATGATATTTTAAAATTACTGATAGTTTGAGTGATCCCTGATACTGTTGTCATATAATTGCAAAAAACATAGATCAGGAATTGCTAACTATGCTTTGTTCTGAGTGCATTGGTTTTTGCCATTATATACTAAATAACGATCATAATTGTTTTTAAAGTAAAAGAAGACCCAGATATTCAAACTAGCCAATACAGAAATATGCACAGTAAATTGTGTCATCTCAGGACTGTGTATTGTGTGGAGTACATATGGAACATTTTGTAGAATAATTGTGAGATAGAAAAAAAATCTGTGAGATAGAAAAAAAAATCTTAATTTCAGAAGTGACTAGTGTATGAAATAAAATAAGAGGGTCATATTCACAGAGAAAAGGTGTACCCTGAATTATTTACATTTTTCTTAGAGAAAAGAAGTTAAAGTACAACTGGATCAAAGGGCAAAAATGATTAAATTTAAAAATTGAGTTATAGGATAAAAACTGGATATTTACAAATTAATGCATTCACTGTTATATGAAACTGGCTATAAAGCTACTTGGGCGGGAGGGAATCAAGTTCAGCTTCTCTGGTATTACATCTTGAGATGGCTGAGTAAATTTCTTAAGGAGTAATTTGCCTTACTGTTACAAAAGAAACTAAAAGGAATCAGACAGGGACACCTCAAAGAAATGAAGACTCATCCTCCAGAGTAGCTGAAACAGAATAACAGGAGGCTCAACATGGTGCCAATTTAGAATGTTTGAATGACATGTATGTGCTATGTAGGAAGACCGTGTTTTCAAACATGAGCCCATGACAAAGTCACTCCAGGGCCTCTCCAGTTGGCTGGTTTGCAGTTAGTCTGCTTCCTAACCCAGGCAACTCTGTTTTGCAGGCACCATTACAAGTAGCCACGGTTATCTATGCTTATCAGAACATCTCTGATAAGCATCTTTTTTTTTAATGGGTTTGTTTGTTTTATGTTTTTCTTTTTTCCTCCTGAGATACACCCAGAAAATTATCTTACCAGATGAATACCATATTGAGAACACTTTTAAATGCCAGATCAATGGGAACTAAAAATAATTTTGAGAAAGCCCAGAAAAGCCGTTTAAAAAGGGGTAACTGCTTGAAGGCCAGTGAGGAAAAGCTTGCCTTCTTTAGGGTACCTGAAGCTGCTCCCCAGGGGCAGACACATTTGAGTGCCCAGAGCATAGACTTATACAGCAGGAATGCTAAAACTGGTCTACAGAACTGTGCCACTGCTCCTGGGGAAGGCACAATTTGGATCTGGCTGAGTGACACTTGTGCTGATCCACAGAAGCATTGCTCCGAGAGACTGTGGATTTTTGCCTGTTTTGTGTATTGTCCCTCAGTGCTTGGTACACAGTGAGCATGTAAAGGGTACCATGGACAGGAGAAGAAGCAGTGCTTTCTAACACAGGCCCTACTTATTACTACCTTGAAGTACTCAGATGGATAGTGAGCCTAATGGTATGTTATATGGCAGAGGTAAGGTAATGTTCGAACTAATTACTGCACCCCCATCTTTGCTCATTAGAACAGTGGAAACTATTTTTAAAGGATTATAAAATAAAAATAACTAAATTCTACTTCAAAAATACTTCCTCATTATGGTATAAATATTGACATATTTTACATGCTAGCCTTTGTTAAGAGTATCTCAAGTACTTTTATTCCAGCTGTTAAGATTCATAGGCCAGGTTTAGGGATGGATACAGGTTTTATGGGGCCTAGAGCTTTTATAATTTTAGGCCTCTATTTTTAAAAAGGAATTCTAATAGAAAATTAAGTCTACTGCTTGAGAAGGACCTTTATACAACTTCATTTCCATTATCTTCCTGGTAGTATGGTAGACCAACCTTATTTCCCGAATTGCACCTAGCACTTAAGGAATAGATAAATTGTATCAGTCTGAATGGACCATAAATATTAGAAATTTCAAAAGTCTTGGGAGTCATGCTACTTATACTAGAAACAATAAAAACATAATTTGTGGTCATTGAAATAATAACAGTAGCCAAGAGATCTTAAGGTTTTCTTGTTCACATTTTCTGGATTCCTGTATCCTCTTCAGCACCATTGAATAGCTTATCTCTTGTATCAACAGAACTGTAAGCAATACAATTATCCCTGTGTTACAGATAAAGAAATGAGGAATGGCAGTATAAATGGCGGTATTAAGTGATTTCCATGGTTGGAACATAAATACGCCAGTCTTTCTTCTTCTTCTTCTTTTTCTTTTCTTTCTTTCTTTTTTTTCTTTATGCTGGTACTGGGACTTCAACTCAGGGCTTGGGCATTGTCTCTGCACTTTTTTGCTCAAGGATAGTTTACTACCTGCCACTTGAGCCACAGCTCCATTTCTGGCTTTTTGGTGATTAAGAGTCTCATGGACTTTGCTTGCCCAGGCTACCTTTAAACTGCAATTCTCAGATCTCAGTCTTCTGAACAGCTAGGATTACAGGTGTGAGCCACAGACCCCTGGCTCAGCTCTTCCTCATAAAAAGCCAAGAGAATATTTTGTTGAGAATGTTTTAAAGAATCAACAACTGATGAATTTGGACCAAAACCACAAAAAAACATGATTCTTTGGACCTGGGAGAAAGAGTTCATTTAAAAAAAAAAAAAGAATTCTGATGCCTGTCACTCCAATAGAGAGGATTTTGTTTTTTGTTTGGTTTTACTATCTAATCACAATATGGGGCAGAAAAATACTCCTTTAGATTTATACCAAATCAGGAGAGGTACAACCTGGCTCAGTAGGTATGCATAAATGATTGGTGCCATGGAGATCAGCAATAACGAGATGCTCAGTTACCAAAATTTTAGCAAATAATTACATCATTTTAAAAATCATTTTTATTAAACTTAATAATTGTCTCTGGGAATGGGCTACGTAACTAATTCTAAATTCTGTCTTCAGTTTTAACGTTAATTTTCCACATAGAGTTTGCTATTCTAAGAGCTACATTTTGTTGTTCTTGTTAAAGGTTAGAATTGTATTTCATTTTAGTGTTACCTTAGGAAACTGTAAAAATTAAAACGGAGTTGTTTTTTTTTTACTGTCACACCTCTTCAAACAATTTACATAGCTTAAATTTTTCCTTTAAATTATTGTTCTTTTAGTTTATATACTTGAATATAGAGGAAACATCTACCTTTATTTTGTTTTATATTAATGTTTTATTGAATTTCACTTTTTAGACAGAATTGTCCATGTATTAGAGAACCCAAGCCCCTATTTTATTTGTACATGCATAGCAAATTTGTTTAAAGTAATTTTTAAGCTGCTGCTTTAATAAAGAGGATTCATCTCATTATACACTAAGAAAAAGAAAGTTTAGATGGATTATTTGCAGAGATCATTGATAGATTTGTTAGGCTCCTGGAATGTCTTTTAAAATTGTTTCCATGGCTACTGTATATTTAAATCTTTTTCCTTCTAGAAAAAAGGATGTGGAGTGGGCTATTGCCTCCTGGCCTGAATGAAAGTGATATTGAGTCAAATTCTGAAGATGAAGCCATATCTGAGAACTCCAAATTTAGCTTACAAGAAGTTAAAGAGGATGGGACCAGTAGGAAATCAGATGCCTCAAATCTCCCAGAAGATGGGCCAGCATCTGAGCCCCAGGTCCAGACAAATGCATATGAAGAGTGCCCTTCTGGAATTCCCATAAATATGTGGAATGTAGGTTTTCTCTGATGTGCCCTTGTGAAAGTATGTGCTACCTTGTGTCTCTGTGTTGGACAGAATGTGTTCTTGGGGTACAAGTAGGGAAGTGGGGCTCAGAATGCTTTCATTGTTCTTTGAGTCATTGGCCACTGGAGATAATTTCATTTGTGTTTTGCATAAAAAGAGAAGGAAAAATAGACAGAAGTTAGCTATTTTATCTAATGTGATAGGTAAATTTTTATCTTCATATTGAGTTTCATTTTCAGATTATCCAGACAATTTATAGTATAACAAATGAATATTAAAACATTTGTGAGACTTTTGGATAGAGTATCTTCAGAGCTGAATTATTTATTAAGCTGATATATTTATAAGACAAGAACAGTGTATTTGTATTACTTTATTTTTTTTTCCAGTCTTGGGGTTTGAACTCAGGGTTTGGAGTGCTGTCCCTGAGGATTTTTGCTCAAGGTTAGTGAGCTTTTTGGTGGTTAATTAGAAATCAGAATCTTATAGACTTTTCTACCTGGGCTGGCTTTGAACTGCAGTCCTCAAATTTCAATCTCATGAGTAGCTAAGATTACAAGTGTGACTAGGATTAGCTAGGATTATAGGTTCCCAGTTACATATTGGTTTTTGAATGGGGGTCGTCAAATATATGTTTTACTCAACTGCTTTTTTTTCTTTTATTTGTACATAGAAATTTCAAGAATTGCATAAAAAACATTCTGAGCAGAAAACTTTAGCCTCAAGATTCAGAGGAAGAAAAAGAAAGCGCTCCAGGAAAGGTGGTATTATTTCAAATTTCGATTGCCTGGTACTGATGAAAATTGTGACTACATTAAGTAGTTTTTTAAAACCTGATTTTGAAATAACAACTGAATACTTAAGTATTAACACTCTGAATTCTTTTCAGATAAGTTGAAGAATGAAAAAGAATCTCATAGGTAGGTATAGTTTAAAATAGTTAAAACAGGAAGCATGATAGAATTTGTCCAAATAGCTGAAGTGTTTACCTCTAGTTAGTACTTATAAAACCAGTTTACAATAGTAAAAGTAAAAATAAATACATTTCTTGTAAATAAAACTATACCTTCTTCCAGTGAACAGTCCTTAAATGAAGCCCAGTGGAAGGAGCTTACTCAGTATTTTGGAGCCAATGATAGATTTGAACCTCCTGTGAAAAAGAAAAAAGTTGAAAAGGTAAGCTCTTTTAGCTGCAACTTATATTAGCTAGTAGAACATACATGTGATTAGCTTTCCCTAAGATATTTATTCAAAGAATCTTTAGTACTGTGTGCTAAAAAGGTGCTAGATAAACAAGTGGATATCTAGCTTAAAACTCTTAATAAAGAAAAGAACAATTGTGAAAATACTAAAACGAAGACGTTAATGTTTTTCTCTTTTTTGTTGTTGTTGGTCATTGGGCTTGAACTCTGGGCTTGGGCACTATCCCTGCGCTCTTCAGCTCAAGGCGAACGCTCTACCGCTTGAGCCACAGCACCACTTCCAGTTCTCTGGTGGTTAATTGGAGATAAGAGTCTCACGGACTTTTCTGCCCGGGCTGGCTTTGAACCGTGATCCTCAGATCTCAGCCTCCTCAGTAGCTAGGATTACAGGCGTGAGCCACTGGCTCCTGGCTAAAGTTTTTCTTAAAAGGCCATTTTATTGCAACCTTAAGGATAGGCAAAGACTTACTAAAGAATGATCAGTAACATGGATAATGATCTTAGGGAAAGGAACTTCCTGGGACCTTTGATAACTTTAAGAAGGCTGCCCTGATTGGAATGGAGTTGGGTAGCTGGTGGCCCAAGATAAGTTTGATAAATATATCAGCTTAATAAATAATTCAGCTCTGAAGATACTCTATTCAAAAGTCTCACAAATGGCCGGGCGCTGGTGGCTCACGCCTGTAATCCTAGCTACTCAGGAGGCTGAGATCTGAGGATCGCGGTTCAAAGCCAGCCCGGGCAGGAGAGACCGTGAGACTCCTATCTCCAATAAACCACCAGAAAACCGGAAGTGGCACTGTAGCTCAAGTGGTAGAGCGCTCGCCTTGAGCTGAGGAGCTGAGGGACAGCGCCCAGGCCCAGAGTTCAAGCCCCCACGACCGACAAAAAAAAAAAAAAGTCTCACAAATGTTTTAATATTCATTTTACTATAAATTAGATAATCTGAAAATGAAACTCAATATGAAGATATGAAGATAGAAACATCACATTAGATAAAATAGCTAATTCTGTTTATTTTTCCTTCTCTTTTTATGCAAAACACAAATGAAATTTATCTTCAGTGGCCAATGACTCAAAGAACAGTGGACCAAACTAGGGCAGGACCTAAAAGAAGTAGTAAGGATATAGATTTGGTTCACAATGAAATTAAGCCATTAGTAAAAGGTTTTAAGTCGAGAGAGAGACATGATCTAATTTAAGGAGAATAGATTGTAGTGTAGTGAAAGTAGATAAGAAAAATTTAATAAACCATTCTTGGGACAAGATGGTGATGGTTTGAACAAAAGTAACGCTGATGAAGATGGAGAAATGTGTGGATGGATTTGAGGTATAGTGGAAAAGTATAATTGACAGTATTTGTCTTTTATCACTTATTAGATCTTAGGAGAGAGCCATTCAAGGTTTTGCCTTAGAAAATGGTGTGTGTGATGATACTAATTGGGAAGTTGAGAAAGATTAGGAGGCGGAAGATTGAGACTGGGGCATAGCCAGCATTCAGTGTGGGACAAGGGGTTTTAAATGGAATATAGGACAGAGTAGGTGAGTGGTTTCATAAGGTGGAGGCTCAGAGGAGACCCTGCACTTGAGGTACACATTTATTGGTGTCAGTCTGTAGAACTTGGGAATGGCTTGAAAGAATAACTCATATTCACATAGAGGATGTTGACAGGCTCTTAGAGCGTGGAAATCAAGTGCTGAGTAATAGGGTTAGAGACAGAGGGCTAGTTGAAGCCCAGGTATAATGTGTCTGGTACATAGTTTAGACAGATGCTTTTTGCATGGATTATTGCTATAGACTGCTATATGTACTTAGAGACCTTTGCCATTTTCTTTTTTTTTTTTTAATTTAATTTTATTTTATTTGTGAACATACTGTACAGAGGGGTTACAATTACATGGGCAGGATAATGCGTACATTTCTTACCAAGCATTGCAGCCTCCTCCTTTGGTTTACCCTTCACATCCCTTCCCAGCCTCCCCCCTGCCCCCCAATCCTTCTCCTTCCCCCCCTTCCTCCCCCCCCCCGCCCCCGACGTTGTAAAGCTCATTTTGGACATGACAGCTTGTACTTTTCATTGTTGCAACAGGTCCACCTGTATCCTTAAACAACTGGTTTTTCCCCATCTCCTCCACAAGTTATACTGACATCAAATATAGTGAAAGCAGGGGTTATACTGTGGGGGAGGGACATACAAAGCAACAAAGAGATAATCTTATAAATGCATTAGAAACACATGCATGAAAGAAAAAAACATTAAAATACATATCTAAGGGTTCATTTTCCTGACATCACATTATCTGACCTTTTCCACTTGACTCATACATATACCTTTGCCATTTTCTGATAACTAGTATTTCCTGAGAAAAATTCTTTGGATTATTTTTTTCCCTAGTCGAGGCCTGAATCCAGGGCCTGGGCACTGTCTGTGAGCTTTTTTGCTTAAGGCTAGCTCTCTACCACATAGCTCCACTTTTTACTTTTGTGGTGTGTAATTGGAGATAAGAGTCTCACAGACTTTGCTACTTGGGCTGGCTTTGAACCATGATCCTCAGATCTCAGCTTCATGAGTAGTTAGGATTACAGGCGTGAACCACCAACACTCACTTCCTCTTGAATTCATTATTTGGTGGTATTGTAGCACTGAAGCAGCCTACATTAAGGGGCTATCACAATAGAATTTGTTGTTTTGTTTCTTGAGATGGAATTTTGTTGTCTTGCCCAGGTTGGTGTTGAATTCCTGGGACTCAAATGATGTCCCGTCTCAGTCTTTCAGTAGCTGGAACTATAGGTGCACACCACCGCATGTGACGCTTTTATTCCAGCTTTCTAAAGAATTCTTATCATCTGGATATAGTCACTAGAACATTGGGTAATTGGAACCAGGACCACTTTCTGTAGCTAATTACTGCTACTGAGCAATTATCTCCAGCAGGTCTAGAAATGATGAATTTCCTGCAAAGAAAGATCACTAGCATAGTTGAAAGGGAAGCCCAGGTTTCATGACACTGCTCTTGAGTTTCCCGGGCTCACTGCACAAGGGGTAGTGACCTTTTGGAAGTATAATTGCTTTGCACTTGACCCTTGTGATTGTGGTGGGCTGGAAGGAGAGCATTGTGGCAAGGCTGCTCTTGGTTGTATCAGATTTGTTCTAAAGCATCAGGGAGGCTCATGCTCTTCCTCCCGGAGCATGTTCTGTTTCTGGCACACGTGGTGTAGAGTCCCAGTCACTGACTGATTCTTTGAGAGAGTGAATGGTTAAATATTGGACTTAAAAGTTTTACTTGTGAGTTAAATGACCTGAGTATTTGTTATGTTCTCTCATTACTTTTATTGACTTTAGAATGTTTAAGTCGTTTCTTAGCGAAGTTGAAGCCATGAAAAACTTAGCCATTCTAAAAGCAGAAATGTCAGGGATAGGTTTTGAAGTCTACTAGAATTTTATTATCATCCTATATATGAAATTGTATCTTCTTAATCCTGGCCACATGTGGCTATTTTGCATTTTATGGTCTAGAATTTGAAGTTTGTGGAGTTACAGCGATTCTTTAGACAAAAAAAAATTTTTTTTCTGTCGGTCATAGGGGCTTGAACTGTGGGCCTGGGCTTCTGTCTCCCTTAACTCTTTAGCTCAAGGCACACTCTCTACCACTTGAACCACAGAGCCACACCTGGTTTTCTGGTGGTTTATTGGAGATAAGAGTCTCACGGACTTTTTTGCCCGGGCTGGCTTTGAACTGCGATCCTAGATCACAACCTCCTTAATAGCTAAGATTACAGGCATGAGCCACCAGCACCCATCTACAAAATCTTTTAAACAGCTCAGGTTTTGGAATTAGTGTTCTATTTTGTGTTATGCCTTAGAATATTGAAGCAGAATATTGTATGTCAAAGGCCATTTTAAAAGTGAGATCTCTAAGGGAAATTGCTCTAAGTCCCAATGACCTAAATATATAACTTTGGGTTCTCTTAGTGCAGACCTTCCTCTATATAAAGGTATCTGGCTAAGAAAGTTATGACAGTATTCTAGCCAAGGAAATATTGTGGCAAGGCTTGTATTTATCCAGGATTTTGCTAGCATTTAAGATGTACAAATAAATGCAAGCATGAAAAGAAAGGGAGGATTTAGTGAAGCCAAATTATCTCATTTGCTCTTGGGAATGTGGTGTAATTGATTTTTTGTTTTGTTTTGTTTTTGTTTTTTTGGGGGGGAAGGGGTTCTGGTCGTGGGGCCTGAACTCTGGGCCTGAGCGCTGTCCCTCAGCTCTTCAGCTCAAGGCTAGTGATCTACCACTTGAGCCACAGCGCCACTTCTGGCTTTTTTCTTTTTGCTTATGTGGTGCTGAGGAATGAAACCCAGGGCCTCAGGCATGCAAGGCAAGCGCTCTACCACTGAGTCACCTTCCCAGCCCAGTGTAGTGTAATTGAATACCAGCAAGTCCACACTGATTCTTTGGTTTAGGATCATGGTTTTACATGGCACCTCTTTTGCTGTCGTGGTGAAATGTCTTCTGTGACCCAACAGTAAATAATCTTTAAAGGATGTCCATATTGGAGGCATCAAGATAAAAGTTATGAATAAATGTAAGTCTAGCATGCTAACTCTGCTCAGGAAATCTAGTGGGGATTGAGCAAACCTGTCATGCAGCATGGGAAAAAGTAAACATGATATCTATAGTCCATTCTTTTATTTTGCTGCAGCAATGACTCATCTGTTACCATTTCTTAGAGAGCCTTTTTATTTTGTTTTCACTCAAACCCCTCAAGAACAGTAAAGCAAAACAAACTTCTGAATTTTGTGTCTGTCCTGAGATCCTCCCACCCCTTTGCTTTGGAACAGTGCCAAGTTTAAACTGTTGCTCAATGGAGAATAAGAATATGTATTAAAAGCTCTGCTGTCCCCTGCTTGCCAGACAGTGCAGAAAGGCTTGCATCTTTTAAATATAATCTAATAGCCAAGCTGTTTTAAAATATTCTTTGTGCTAAATAAGCTATAATTGTGTTCCTGGCAGCAGGTCTGGACTTAATAATAATTCTTAACCATAGCATAATTATTTTGAATCTATTTCACTCATTAACTTTACTATAAATGCCTCAGGTATTCTATAGTTGACTCAGTTTGATTAGTGAGTCAGCAGTTTTGTGTGTGTGTGTGTGTGTGTGTGTGTGTGTGTGTTTGTGTAATAGATACCTTTTAGACTGAAAACTTAAAGGTATTTTTTACTAATTTTTAGAGTTACTGTGCAGCATTGTTGTTTTAAAGTTGTTATGAGAGGAAGCTGTTGAGTAGTGTAGCTTTTTCAAACTTTTTTTTAATCTTTTAGTGGAGTACTTCTCTGTCCAGACTCTTATGCAGAACTCCCACACATCAATCAAATAATAGCTAAGGTTGCCTTTGAGTAGATGAGGAGGGAGGTAGAGAAGTAGGGGAGTGTTGTGGTGTGGTACTCTGAAGTTCACCTGTGTTAGTTACAAAGCATTCTCTCTTGACCCCTGGTGATTCCTGTGAGGAGTGCAGGCAGAGCCCATGTTACTCTGTAACCCAGATGAAGAAACTGACTCTCAGCATAACTGGTCAGAGAATATAAATAGCAGGTAAATAAAAGAACACTAAACTCAAATCATTTGGTTCCAAGGCTAGATTTTACTAAAATAATAGCTGAGCTTAATTTTTTCTTATCTGCCTTAAATGATTTAAGCATTAGTTAAGGTAACGAAATCATAAATATATAATTTATTAATAAATTATTTGTATTTATATTGTCCTATCCCCCTTTTTATGAGAAATTGGCTCGTTTTTCCTAGATATTTAAGTTTAGTCAGTACTAAAGCAAATTTCAGTAGGTTATTTATATTATGTTTATTTATATTAAGTTCAATATATTCAGCCAGGCACTGGTGGTTCATGCCTGTAATCCTAGCCACTCAGAAGGCTGAGATCTGAGGATCGAGGTTCAAAGCCAGCCTGGGCAGGGAAGTCCGTGGGATTCTTCTCTCCAGTAAACCACCAGAAAACCCGAAGTGGTGCTGTGGCTCAAATGGTAGAGCACTAGCCTTGAGCTCAAGAGCTGAGGGACAGCGCCCAGGCCCAAAGTTTAAGCCCCATGACTGACAAAAAAAAAAAAGTTGACTATGTTCAGTTAAATAAATAGATTTCTGTAAAATATACTGTGGTATAGTTTGAGTTGAAGCATTTTAAGCACGTATTTAAAGAATCTCGGCATGTGCACGTATGAGTTTATAATATTAACCCTCGTGCCCATAAATTGTGGTCATGTCTGTAGTCGTGCCATCTTGACGTCTGTAGCAAAGCTTCACTAATTAGAGGGTAGTGGGTGCCTCATGGGAACCTGTTAGGTACCGCTCTTAGATGAATTTTCCACCTGTGGCCAAATTGCCATTCCTATGTGTCTTTGTCTGTGTTGAGACATATCTTAAGCAAAATTCTGATTCTAGCCAAAAAAGTTAGATGTATACCAAGCAGTACAGCCCTCGTCAGTGCCCTGCCCCTCCCACCACGTCTCTGCTGTGAAAGATATCCTGGGTATGTCAAAAGCTGCTCCAGGGTCCAACTTAAAAGTTTCCTGTGACTACTTTCTTTCCCCAGAATTGAACTGTTAAGACTTGGACTTGGGTCTGAGTCCTTGAAAAACTATGGTGAGGTCTGTAGCAATGAGATCAAGCCTTTTCTGGCCTTAATGACATCTTAATATCACTTACTGAATGATTACTATATTCTGAAAATTGGACTAGATACTTTTGTACCTTGTACAGAGAGTGGTTTGATTCTTGCTTAATTGCGTATGTGCTAACTTTAACCCGTTGATGTTTAGAAACGTACCCAGGGTTGTATAGTGCATGAGTTAGTATCTAGCCTGGAGCTCAACAGCTGTGCTGTTGGTAAACTGCTGTGAACTTTAATTCTTAAGGAGATGGGAAGGTTTTATAGGAAAAAAATGTTTCAAAAACAGAAGCATTTTACATGTATTTGAAATGTTAATGTGTTCTTACAGATACAACAACTTGAGTGTATATATAGAATCAAAACATTTCAAAAGTAAAAAAGGAATACTTTTATTTTACCGTAATTGTGTGAAAGAAGAGAAAAAGGAAAGAACAGTTATATCTAGAAAAACCAACAATTTCTGAAAGCTGAATACAAAGTTGAAAACATAGTAAAAATCTAGGATTTTATTTCTAGGAAGGCATTGTGACTTCTCAATCAACAATCTCATATTCTTTGAGAAGTCTGAGACTTAGGAGAAGGATCTGATTACCCAGAGCTGTAACTACATTCTCCTGGTCTGAATAGCTTAGGGGAATGGAAATTATTATTTTTAAAATTATTTATTTAATGCTGTACTGAGGTTTGAACTCAGGATTTCATGCTTGCTAGGCATGAAATTCTTCTGCCTAAATCACCAGCCCTTTTTGCTTTGGTTATTTTTAAGATAGGATCTTGCTTTCTGCCCAAGGTAGCCTAGATCATATAAATGTTTCCCACATAGGTGAGATGACAGGTACCACCACACTCAGCCTTTTCTTTTGAGATGGGGTATCATCACCAACATTTTGTTTTTGCTTGGGATGGCCTGGAATTATAATACTCCTCATCTCAGCCCGTCTTAGCTATGATGACAAGTGTACACCACAGTGCCCAAGTATTGGTTGAAGTAAGTTTTTTGAGTCCTTGCAGTCTTCCTGATGTGATCCTTTTAAAGTAGCTTACAGATGTGAGCAACTGGCATCTGTCTGGATTTGTAATTTTAACTGACTTTTAAGTGAAAATTGTACCTATAATAAGCTCATCAGTTCATATGAGTTTCTAGAAAATGGGTATGTTCTCTCTCACGGACATTAAATTTGGAGCTGTAGCTCCAAGGCAACCAAAGGACAATAACAAGTTGGTACAGTATGAAGACAGCTGGCTTCTTCTTGGGTATTTGTGATGAAAATAGAGTGGATACCTCTTTATTCCTTGATCTGTGGTCATTCTAGGTTCTGGTATAAATGAGCGCAGAACCCAGGTCTCTTAAATCTCAGAAAGCCTAGAAAAGAGGGAGGGAACTGAGCTGCTGTATGGAACCAGCAAGGCAGACTTGAGAGTGAATTAGTGAACAAATTGCTGAGGTCAAAGACTGGAGCAAGTCTGAGATGACTGACTAATTACATAAACTCTGAGGTGAGCTATCAGATTACCTGAATCTCGGATGCCAAAGCAATTGAATTTGATACTCATGTTTTGCTTCTTCAGTCTCAGTGGTATTTGAGGAAGTACCTAATATTTTGCACTGGAAGGAGAAGTCATTAACATTAAAAAAATAACTTTTTAGTAAAAATTAAATGATGTGTGGTTTTAAGTGTAGGTTTTGTATTAAGGTTTGGAAGCCAAGATGGTGAAAATATTTTCTCAGCCTACAAGAAATATTTGTTAGTAACTGGAAAGAATTACATAAATGTAGTAACACATAACCCTGGTTAAAAATACTTGAGCAGAAGGGCATTATTTCTTGATATTACTGTATGGAATTCTCTTGAGGACTTCAAGATGATAATGTTAAAAATGTTCCCAATGTGGGAACATTGGGTGTGGTCCTTTCATTATTGATGCAAGCATGAAGTACTACTGCAGGTGAGCCTAAGTGTAATTGAACAGACTGAGTACTTCCTGTGTGGATGGAAGTGGGTACATTTGGGACTATACCAAGCCAGTTATATCCTGACTGATCATAGAACCCAAGAGAAGAAACAAGCAGTGTGTCAGATCAGTGAGTGCTGAAGGGAAGCATATGGCACAGTGACAGTATAGAGTGGAAAGCCCACTGGTATAGGTGTGGGGAAGGGTGGCAGGTCAATGGGGCTTCAGTATAGGGAAACAGAGAAAGTAGTAGCATTTGAAAATAGACAGTGAATGAAGCACATCACAGAAAGGTATATGGACAAAATGGCAAATGTGAAGAGATTAGGAAGCTTAGTATATCTGGAGCTGAGGTGGAGGAAACAGTCATATAGTCGAAACACTCAGGAATTTGATTTGCATTGTGGCATAAGTTCCTTAGCTTTGCATGGACCAGAATAGTTGATGGATTGACAAGACCAGAATGGTACTTCAGTTGCATGATTGGAGTGGTATTGGCCAAAGAGTGTAGAATTTTGAGATAAGTAGAGTCAGAGATTCCTGAAAATAAAAGATGTTGAAAGAGTCAGGGTGTTGTTCCAGAGAAATATCTGGAAGATTGGACAAGAATAGGAAGAAAGCACTGGAGACATTACGAAGGATAATTAAATGAAGGTCTCCCAATAGTGTGGGAATAAGCAAAGAAGCTGGTTGGTTTCCCAGGTCTTTAGATAGAAGGAACTGGAACTTCTTTAGAGAAGGAACTGGAAGGGAACACTTGTCACTTAATCGTGGGCATCAGGAATGAGTGTGGCTGAGAATGCAGGCTGAGCAGCTCTGCATTTATATACTGGGCACTTCAGGCTCTGTTTTCTCATCCTTAAACATTAGCTAACATTATTTCAGGGATTATAGGGTTAAGTCAACTTTCTCAATAGTAACAAACCCAGGGTCTGCCACATAAGGGCCCTAAACCTTAAGTACTACATAATTTTTGTTCTCTCATTAACCTTATTAAGGGAAAACGCTGAATTCACACAAAAGAAATCTGAATTTGCGTGTCCTTTTATTATTATTTTGAGAAGTTAGGTGACTTTGGGTAAGTAATTTATTGTTTCTGAGACTTACCATCGGTAAATGTAATAGCTGTTGCCTACAGTTACTGTGAGAGAGAAATGATCGTAATGTATTTGGTTTAATCCTATGACATAGTCTTGGCTAGCAGATGGTTGACTTTCTTTGCTACCCTTAATTTGTAGGTTTCTTTTTCTTTCTAGTCAGGTCTCGAAAAGAGGATAGACCAGGCTGTGGAAGAATGGGATGTTGAGAAGGCTGAAGAACTCAGCAACCAGCTAGCTACTCGAGAGGTGAGTTAAACTGATAGATAATACATTGTGTTTCCAGACTTCCTCAAGGGAATATATATTTTTTTTATGATAATAAGTTCAGTATTGTTTCTTGTTTCCTTTCTTCCTTCATTTATACTTATTTTAAAATGCTAGCTTTGTTTTTGTCTTTAATGTTTTAAAATTATTCTGGTCTAAAACTAGGTTTGGAAATAATCCATAGTTATATTTGACCTTAATTTTACCTAAGTCAGAGAGGCTAGTTTCTTTTTTTTTTCTTTTTCTTTTTAATCCTAGAAGTACTAGAATTTAGCTCGAGGTTTTGTGCTTGCTAGGCAGGCACTATACTGCTTGAGCCACATCTCCTAGCCTTTTTTCTGGGTTTTGTTTTTGTTTTTGTGCAGGTATTAGAGTTTCAACTCCAAGCCTTTCACTTTTTAGACTATAATTTTATTATTATTAAGGTGTTGTACAGAGGAGTTGCCATTTCAAGTCCCTCTCTTTTTGGACAATGTCACCCCTTCTTTCACTTTCCCCTTGACCATCGTCATGTGTCAGAAAGCCATCTCTAGTGGTGCTATGGTCTTTGCCCACTTTTTCCTCTTTTTTTTTTTTTTTTTACCACAAGCCTTAAGGATCTTGTGAGTTTTATTTATTTATTGTCTCTATTGTTGTTTGTTTTAATTTTTGAGATAGAGTCTTTCTCACTGTGAGTTCAGGCTGACCTCGAACCCTCAGTCTTCCTTCTTTTGCTTCCTAATTTGTGCTAGGATTATTATAGGTATATGACACCAGGCCCAGCTGGAGTTTTACATTCTTTTCCTAGGAAAAAAATAAATTCAGAAGAGAGGCTTAGAGATTTTAGAATTATCATTTTAAAACACTTTTAAAATCATTTGTCACCTTAAATTTTACTATGTGTAATATCGTGTCCATGTGTGTTAATAGCTAACATAAAGGAAATTATAAAGTTGTGAACTTCAGCTTGGACATAATAAGAACCTAGTGTAAATAATTATTTGACTTTTCAAGATAAATGAATTAACTTTTTTTTTTTTTTGGCCAGTTTTGGGGCTTGAATTCATGGCCTGGGCTTTATCCCTGATTTTTTGGTGCTCAAGGCTATTGCTCTATTCCTTGAGCCACAGTGCCACAGATCTCAGCCTCCTGAGTAGCTAGGATTACAGTCATGAGCCACTAGCTCTTTAAGTTGACTTTTTAAAAACTGTTCTTTATAGTGGTAAAATAATCCATCAGATTATTATTTAACCACTTTTAAATGTATGATTTAATGCCTTTAAAATCATTCAAGTTGTGCAGCCATTACCAGCATCCCTCTGTAGAATTCTAATCTTACAAAACCACAACTTTGTACCCATAAATAAATAGTAACTCCTCCCTCCCCTTCACCCAGCCCTTGACACAGACATCCATTTCTATCTCTATGAATTTGATACTACATATAGGTAGAATCTTGGCTTCCTGTTATTGGTTACTCTTGGATTCTGGCTAATCTGGAGTACTGGTGGTTGTAGTAAATACTTGAAAGTAAAGGATAAGACAGTGCAGGTCCCACTGTTAGTGTAGGCACCATGTGATCCATCTGTGGCCAGCATTTTTCTTAATATCTATTTTTGTTTATTGGCACCTCTCCCTGAAGCGAGGGGAATTCACAGAGAAACATTCATGTCACTGCAGGTTCCAAGTTCCTTTTAGTGCATTTAAGAATACATTTAAGAATATAAGTTAAACACATTGTAGTTTTTTTTTTAAGAAATTGTGAAATTATTTCAGACTTGTTTGTAAAGATTTCCTCTAATCTGTAAACTACTTAAATGTGCAACTTTTCTACTAATTTTCTTGTTAGCAAGGAAAAGTTTGGAGCATCAATGGCTCGCACCTTACAGTCCTACCTCTCAAGAGGCTGATATCTGAGGTTCACGACCAGCCAAGGCAGACAAATCTGTGACACTCTTATCACCAATTAATCAGCAAAAAGCCAGAACTGGAGGCGTGGCTCCAGTGGTAGAGCTTTGGCATTCATTTTTTTTAAAAAGCCAAATGAGAGAGCTCTAGGCCCTGTTTTACGCCTCAGAAATGCCTCCTGCCCACCCCCACCTCACCTCCCAAAAGAGGGAAATTTTGTTTTCTCTAGTCTCTGACATTTCTTTTTGCTGTCAGGTTTCTTTAATCTGGAATAGTTATTCTTGGTGTCTCAAAACTTTAACATTTTTGAGGAGTAGAGGCCAGTTAGTTTGTGCATACCCCTAGATTTATCTGATGTTTATTCCTGGTTATTTGCAGAAGTATCGGGTGGCTTTTTCCATGCAAGCTGTCCAGAGGCATATACACTGTTTTTTGTCTCACTGTGTGATAGTGTGACTTTGATCATTGAATTAAGGTGGTATCCTTGGGTTGTTATTGTTAAGTTGTATTTTTCTCTGGTTAATGAGTGAATGTCTTGTAGGGAGGTGGGAAGTAGTCTGAGACTGTATTCTCTCTTACTATACTTCCACATTAATTTTAGCATTTATTACTAAAACATTTTTAATTATCCTTTAAAAAGCTATATAGAAGAGAAGAGTTGACATTCAGCAAAGCAGTTTATGAATACAATGTATCTTGATTAGTGTCACTCAACATCTTTTCTTGCTTGAGACAATTATTATGAAGACTTAGATCTTTAACTGTAGTGTGTGTGTGTGATTTCTTTTTTTGGTATTGGGACTTGAACCCAGGACATTGGCATTGTACTAGTTGCTAGGCAAGCTCTTTTCCACTAAGGTACACCCCAACCCAACTTAGATCTTTAAAATACCATTTAGTGATACTTTTCATTTTAACTTGGGAAACTAGCTTGGCTTGAGATATTGGATTATAGTCTTTTTCTGAATCCATGTTAAATCTCTCAGTAAACCTAGATAATATTCTAAATGATGTACTAGGCTGGAGCGAGAGCATCATATGACACTGCCAGTGAGCAGTGGCATTGTTGCAACAGTGTGGCCTACCTGCCCAACCCATTCACCATTGAGCTTACCTGTATGCAGTTGCCTGGCCCAACACTCAGAAACAGTGCATTGAGGCCTCAGAAGTGGGTGTCTCTTTAAGAACAGGAAGGTTTTATGTATATATGGATATATATATATATATATATATATATATATATATATCCATATATACATATTTACCTATGGATCCCAGTCATTTGTATTTTTGTTTAATAATTCATCTATGCATTAAAATGTACTAAATAAAAAAAAAACAACAAGAAGGTTATAGCTGGGCGCCGGTGGCTCACGCTGTAATCCTAGCTACTCAGGAGGCTGAGATCTGAGGATCACGGTTCAAAGCCAGCCCGGGCAGGAAAGTCCATGAAACTCTTATCTCCAATAAACAGTCAGAAAACCAGAAGTGGCGCTGTAGCTCAAGTGGTAGAGTGCTCACCTTGAGGTGAAGAGCTGAGGGACAGTGCTCAGGCCCAGAGTTCAAGCCCCACGACCGACAAAAAAAAAAAAAAAAAAATAGGAAGGTTTATTTTGGTGTTTTGTCATCCTGCTATTTTACAAATGGGAATTTTATAATATTGACTACATGTTTTCCATACTTCTTAACAAGTGAGATTGCTTTAGGAAATGCCTGATATTTTCAGCACTTATGAAGATAGTAAACATTTTTCTTAGTTGTCCTTTTCACGTCCATATAAATATAACTCAGTTCTGGTAGAGCAAACTAAAGTTATTTAGTATGATATTAAAGAATTCTGATTTACAGGTAAAATAATAATTTGGGCTCTGTAATTTTACCTGGATAAATGGAAAGACATCTAGAAAATGTTTGCTGTTCAGACACAGACATTGGAGAGACACTGATGCTGAATTAATCACCTACAAAGAATAATTAATATTAGATTCTTGACTGGACAATTTACTTGGAGGTTTGAATTCTCATATCCATCCCTTTAGTGACAGTCACTGTAGATATGATAGCAAGATTTGGAGATGTGTAAGTTTAGGATGGAAGCCCTTTATAGATTAAGTGTATACATTTATGGTAGGTGTCCTGTTGGAAACGAGATATGTTAGATTTTAATCAGTACTGTTTCTGTTGTTTTTTCCCCAAGAAGCAGTGACTGGTACCTGCTGATAAAGCCTTTGTTCTAGACAAAGATCCTAAAGTTCTTAAAAGCCCTTTCCAATAAGTCAAACAAATTTTTGGTGTTTAACATTTGTAAGACTGTGAGACCAGTAGGGCAATATCCATTTTGGGAAAAAATAAATAAAGCTAGAAGTAGAGTCGTGTGCAAATATGCCTTGAAAACAGTTCTTCAAAAACAGTCTGCCAAAATAAGTTGTCAGTGTGCTGTCGTCATGACACAGCAAGCATTCCTTAAATGCAGGACAACAGGAGGTAGTTAAATTGTGCTTGGTTTTCTTGTCATGGTGAGATGCTCTGAAACTGCCCCTCTTATTGATTTAACCCTTTAAGGGGATATAAAGAGGAGATATAGATTTAAGTTTATGTCAGACTGATATAATTTCTAATTTGGGGGCAGAGGAGGTTTTCTTTTTTAAATTTTCTTTAAAAAAATTTGTGTCATTCCTGGGGCTTGCACTCAGGGTTTGGGCTCTGTCCCTGAGCTTTTGTTGTCAAAACTAGCATCATACCACTTTGAACCACAGCTCCACTTCCAGTTCCAGCTTTTTGTGGTTAATTGGAGTTAAGAGACTCACAGACTTTCTTGCCTGGGCTGGCTTTGAGCCTTAATCCTTAGATCTCAACCTCCTGAGTAACTAGGATTAGAGGTGAGAGTCACCTGTATCTGGCTGAAAGTTTTTCTTAAAAAAAAATATAGATAGATAGATAGACAGACAGACATATAATATGCATACATACACACATTTGAACATATTTGTGATTTGTTAACTTCAGACTTACACAAATCCATCAAAATAAATACTTAGAAATGAAGTTCTAAAGCCTAGATTAACTAGGTAGGTAGGAGTTAGGTTATATCTCAT